GAAAGAGATCGTGATCGTGAAAGAGAACGCGAACGTGAACGTGAAAGAGACAGAGAAAGGGAAGAGACAGAGAACGTGAAAGAGAACGTGAAAGAGAAGAAGCGAGGAAAACTGAAAGAGAAATTATGCGTGAAAGAGAGGAAGAGGAAGAGGCGAAAGAAAGGAAGAAAAACGAAAGAAGAGCAAGAGAAAAAGAAGCAGCTTATCAAGAACGTTTGAGAGCATGGGAAACACGGGAACGTCGTAAACAAAAAGAATATGAAAAAGAAGCGGAAAAACGCCGAGCAAAACGGGAAGCACGAGAAAGAGAAGCAAAACGATTGAAAGAATTTCTCGAAGATTACGATGATGAAAGAGACGATGCTAAATATTACAAAGGTAAAGAACTTTCACGTCGTTTGGAAGAGAGAGCACTTGAAGCTGAAGCCGATTCACGAGATCGTTGCGCCGAACGTCAAGAACTTCAACGTCTTCGCGATAAACTTTATGCTGATGCTTCTCATCCAGATCCAGCAGCTGAATTTGAAAGGGTATAATAATTTTAAGTAGCATTGTATTTCGATTTATATATATATATATACATATATATAAAATTCACTGTTTATTTTATTATTATATAATTTTTATTATATTATAATTATATTATATAATAAAATAATGTATTTGTTATTGTTTAATTTTAGTTGAAAGCTGAAAGAGAGGAACAATATAAGCCTAAACCGGTTATTACGATAATTGATGAAGAAGATGAAAAAGTAGTGAAAAAAGAAAAGGAAGTTATGCCACCTATAGAAACTGAACCAATTGAAAGTGATAGTGACGAATGTGTGCAATTTGATGATGCTTCCCAATCAGAAGTACCATCTAGAACACCACCTAGGCATCATCATCATCATCGAAGACATCATCGTCATCATCAAAATCATCATCGTGATGGGGAAGAAAATGAGGAAGTTGTAGAAACAGATAGAGAGAGTGTAAAGGGGACGAGATCATCACCTTCTCATCAAACGGTAACAACACCAGTTCAATCCATTCCACCCACATTAGATGAAGATTCACGTATGTCTCTTGTTAGCGAACCAGAAAAAACGGGTAGTAGTGAGTAAATAATGTAATTTTTTAATTTATAAGAAGAAGATATATTTTTTATTATTGTATCACATTTATATCACTACAGGTAACTTTATACCATTTGCCATGGGAAGCGGAGGAAATCGTAGTGGTGATCATGGAATAGGTAATAAAACTCCTGCTAGTCCAAGTACAGCTGTTAATGTTAGTTCACAACAAATAAATCAGAATAAAAAGAAAGGTCGAATTGACGTTAAAGATGTATTTAATAATGACGATGATGATGATGGTGCTAATAACGCAAAGAAGCGTAAACTAGTTCCTTTAGGTAATATATAAATAGATAAATTATTAATTTATTTTTTATTTAAATAATTTTTCATATAATTTTATACGATATTTTATACAAATTGTATTTTAGATTACGGCGAGGAGAAAAAGAAAAAATCTAACGAAGAAGCTCCTAAAGCTGGAAAAGAAGAAAGTACAAAAAGTCAAGAAGAGAAACGAAAGCACATAAAATCCCTTATTGATAAAATACCTACAGATAAAAATGCTTTATTTGGATATCAACTTGATTGGGCAGTAATAGATAATGTATGTAAGACATATTTTTAATATTTTTAACAAAATATGGTGTTTCATTATTTTGATATAATATTATTTTGATAATATTATAAATAAATAAAATATGTTAAGCTTTTTTATTTTTATAGACATTAATGGAAAAAAGGATAAGGCCGTGGATTAACAAAAAAATTATTGAATATATTGGAGAACCTGAACCGACATTAGTAGATTTTATTTGTAGTAAAGTAATGGCTGGCAGTTCTCCTCAGGGCATACTTGATGATGTACAGATGGTAAATGATTTTTGTTCTGTCCAATGTAAAATATTAATTTATTGATTTTATTACGATATATATTATAGGTATTGGATGAAGAAGCAGAAGTTTTTGTAGTGAAAATGTGGAGGTTATTAATTTACGAAGTTGAAGCTAAAAAAATGGGCTTAGTTAAATAAATGAAATATCAATTAAAGTACTAAACTCGACTTGAAAATTTATACTACACATCAAACTCCTTTGGTTAAAATGTACTATTTAGATTATATATCCTAATATACAATTACTTATGTATAATTTGTAGGATTTTTCGCTAGATGAAAAACAAGGTGTTGCTCGATTGATAGGTAAACTAAATGTGTAGCAATTGAAATGTTAAATACAAATTGTAATTACGATTTATAATATTTGAGTTGTGTTTTTCTAAATTTGCTTATCCATAGTTTTATAAAGAAACCTTTTAATATGTTATAAATAATAGATTTTTTTTAGATATTTCAAAAAGCTTATGGATATAAATTTTATTAGATGATTATATAATCCTATAAATGTTCCTATAAATTGCAAAGCAGTTTAATTTGTATATAGATATAGCAAAAATAATTATTTTTCTTAAAATATTTGTAATTTTTTTAAGTTAATATTCTATGTTTTATAACATATTGAATTAATTTAATAAGGTAGTTAAAGTTAAAAATATTACTATACATTTTCTATTCAATGAAAAACACGATATTAAAAAAAAGAAACTATTTTTACGGTAATATAATTAATGAAAAGTTACAAATTAATATTAATACAAGAAGGTATGTGTATGAAATATGAAATAAATTTTTTTATAAGGGAGGTAAGTAGGAATTAGTAAAAGATTTAGAAAAATCCAATTGGAAAAGATAAGGTAGTGATTCAAATATATTACAAATATATTAATGTATTAATTAAATAATAAATATATAATAATAACAACAACAACAATAATAATAATAATAATAATAATAATAATAAATGTTGTTATATTCTTATATATTTTGAATATTTTTAATTGATGTAACAATTTTTTTTATTCAATTTTAATTATAGTATTTAATATTATGTAAAAATATGAATTTAAGCATCTCATATTTTGTGTAATTTTATGAAAAATTCATATAATTTAAATAAAGTAAATATACCTTACATTTCTTTCTTTTTACAATTTTTTAAATTTTTCGCTAATGTTAATTTATTTTAGCTTATCAATGTTAATAATTTAATTTAACAATATTAACTTGATTTTTCATATAAGAATAATATTTTCAGATCTTTTTTATATTTTTTATAAATCGCATAACTAATTATTATTCATTCGAAAACATTAAACTTTTTTTTTCTTATAAAATATTCACAATTTGCAAGATTAGAACAATATCAGATTTAAGATTAATCGGACTGCCGATCCTAAATAATAATTTATAATAATTTATTATAAATAAACAATTAAAAGGAAAGAATATAAAATTTCATTAAGATCTTGCATAAGATATAATTTTATTATAAATACTTTTTATTAAAATCATAATATCAAAATATTTGATGCTCTCATCTATCAAAAAAAGAACAAACACAATTCAATTTGATTATTTGATTATTTTATTGCAAAAAAGAAAATTGATGATTATCAATTTTAATCAAAAAATAAAAAAAAAATATATAGTTTCGAACTATTATGAATTCTATTTTGCAGGTGGTGAATCGTTACATGTCTATAGTGGAATCTGTAGAAAGTTAGCGAGACGGGTGTCCCGGCTGCGTAGCACTACTTCTCATATTATTTGTCGTTAAGTGCATGAAAGCTTTTTTCGAGGGCTTAATACAAGCTCTCGGTTAATAGCGGAGCATTATTGTATTCACGGGAACACGAGTGCGGCACAGCTTAGAGTCGCTCTCTCAGTCTCCTTTCTCTCTCCTCTCCTCTCTTCGACACTATACGAAAAACGCAGGCAGCCCAACCTTTTATGGATTCTTTGTCGCGACGCGATTATGTACAGCCAGTCTTCTCGTCGCCACCTCTTTTTCCTGCCTCTTTTTCTTATGTATTTATACACACGAATTTCGCTGAAACGCGCGTGTTTCCTTTTAAAGCGGCCTCGATGCAGTCTTACTGATGCACGCTCGGCTGCGACCAATTTTTACCAACGCTGACAACAGACAATGCTTTTGTGCGCGAAATGCATCCTGGATGGGAAGCGAGAAACGTATGAATTGATGATTGAACAATCGCATTATATATATATATATATATGATACATGATTAAATGATAAAAATCCGTTAGCGTGATTAATTTATACGTTTCAAACATCAACAAATTAAATCATCAATACGATTAACATTAATATTATCTTTCAAATTATATATATATATATATTTTCTAAATTATATAGCTAACGTAAACTGAAGTATTTGTTAATAATAAACGTTCAAATTGATCCTTTAATTATTCAACCGTAAAGCATGTATGATGTACGTTTGATAAATCTATTATTTTGAATTTTTAAGAAATTTTCATATCAATAATTTCATTTCATATTTTCCAGCCGTTGTAATATCTTGGTAAACAGCGTGGAGAGGTAGGAAAACGAGCAGTGCAAGCTCTCGGTTTACCACGGCCAATTCAATGACTATAGTATACTGTACAAAGCACATTACCTGCAACAATTGCATTATCCGCCAGACTATGTATTGTGTTGGTACCACATCCACATTAGATTTGAAGATGCTTCGGCTTAATGAATTTTATCGATGATTTTGGAATGGCCTCTAGTTAAACGTTTGTACATTCGTCGGATAATTTTCACGGCACAAGAAAGAAAATTCGTGCAATAGAAGGATTCCAGAAGAATTTAATCCTGACGTCTGACATTTAATTCATATATTTAAATTTGTATACACAGAACTTTATTGCTTTGATTATAATTAAACCTAACTTAGATCCCACAATTGTTGGATTATCATTTTATAATAGCAAAAAAGAAAAAAAAAAAAAAGAAAAGAAAACAGTTCACTATCGACGCACACATATCGAAATTGACGCAAGGATGTTGAATTTACACAAAGAACTAAAATCGTTTCGCCATCAGCCTCGACTCGATATGATACAAATGAAGAAGAGAAATTGCCTGAAACAAGTATCATCCACAGGAAGAGAGGGAATTATGCGTCTGAAATTAATCGTGAGCCCGCGTTAACACGTAGCTGAGGACAATGAGACACGCGAAACACGCACAGAGGAAGAAGAGTACGAGAGTCGTCGAGAGAAGTAGCGGTAATGCGAAACACCGGAAGAGGCGCGCTTGAACATTTTACAGACGAAACGTGCCCGCCAGACCGACGATCGACGAGCGGAGAGAAGAAAGAAAAAAAGGAAGGATCGGCGGGGGTGTTTGGGTGGAAGGACTCAAGGAATCGTCGCACGTATCTGCCAGAGGAAGATGAAACGGTAACGAGTGTAGTTCACGGTAACTAAATATTCGCAGGATCGCATCTGGGGGCCAACGGTGGAAAAAAGGAGGAGGGAGGCGAATGCTTTCGTCGCGGCGCTATTCGACGTCGCCATGCTGTGTGTATGCAATCGTCGTCGCCGCTCGTGGAGACAATTTATTCTCACGGTTTCGCGCGCAATTTGCCACGGGCACGTGTAACGAGGATAACGAGAATCATCGAATGAAAAGCCAACGTCGCGGCTGCAAATTGCATTTCACGCGACATTTGCTATAACACCTGCCGCGAATATTTCTACCCGTTGCCCTCCTCCCCTTTTTTTTCGGATATCGAGGCGATCAAGCGTTCGATACGTTGTTTAACTCGTCTCCTTCTCTTTCAAATTATCGTTCCTTCTGTGTGCATCTTCTATCGATCTTTGTCCCGTTTTCCTTAACTGCTCGTTGGATAATCTTGCGGAGTCGTGACTATTAGCAGAGGAATAGTTGCTGAATCATCCAAGTTGTCGCTGCTGCATCGTAACAGTCGCTTTTACGCAGTATAATATAGGAACAATTTGAAGAAGATTGAAGAAAATTTTTTGATATCAATTTTTTTGCGTTATGAATTTTCATCAATGTGATAATTGTAAGTTGTTAACAAGATGTAAAAAGGGATTGTTGTTTATTTCACGCAGCAACGCGTGATTTATCGTTCCTACTTTCTTCGATTCCTGTTTCCACGACAAGCATAAACGGTTTAAATAATTTGCAAAGCCTTTAACCTGTTTGAATAACACGAGGGATGAAATTTTCAATTAACTTTTAATTAAATTTTTCTAATCGATTATCATCGTTTGCACGCCACTACGAGGAGGAGGAACAATTAACCAGAACATTCCCAACAGCAGCAGCAAGTTATTTCACTCGGTATTCTTACCGAAGTAAAACGCGCGATGAAAGAAAGAAAAGAAAGAAAGGAAAGAAAAAAAAAAAAAGAAAAAGAAAAAAAGAAAAGGAAGGAGGAGGGAACGATTAATGCTCGCGCCAAGTTTTTATTGCGGAATTCAATTTCCAAAATAAACATTTGCGAAGAGAACAACTGTTGACAAGTCCATTCTCGCGCGAGTTTCAACATTTACGCCGAACGTTCCTCGACATTTCGCCTCATATATTTCGCCGTTTCCACCGTTTCATCGGCAATCGATCGATACTACGGCTATTTTTCCTCCCATTCCGAGTCAACTGCATCGACACTCGCACGAAAAAACAAATTAAATCTCCTGGACAAGAATTTTTCTTCGGTCGAAAGTAGAGAGCAAAGAGCAAAGAGAGAGAAAGAGAGAGAGAGAGAGAGAAAAAGAAGAAGAAAAATAAACTTAAATAAAAGATAAAAAAGACAATTATAGACAATAAAACATTATAGACAGAGATACGTTGAGGCGATTCGGTTCATTCTTGAAAGAGCGTGTCGCGTAAAACCGGAAAAGAAAGTGGCTGCGACAAGGCTATTCAAATATTTGAATAGTTTTCTCTCGGTTGCGGAAGAGCTTTACGGTGAAATTACCGTGTCCGATTCTAGATATAAAAAAAGATTCGTGATTCGTATCATTTAACTACCATTCGACGAAACAGGATCGTAGATTGATCAAGAAAAAAAAAAAAAGAAAAGAAAAGAAGAATTTATTCAATATTCAATTTATAGAAACAAGTATGGAGGAACGACCAAGTATCGACGCTTGAATTTTTATCGGTAATAAAAAAAATGGATAAAGATATAAAAAAGCTTTTTGTTATATATGATCATGCAAGTTATATATATATATATATATCAATTCTTTAGAGCCTGTTTACATGAAGATGCGACGAAAGGCAGCAAGCAATTTGTCATTCCGAAACCCTTCCACGAATAATCCGTTAACATTGTCTCTCTATTTATTACCGAAAACTGTTTCCATTGCTTTTCATCGATACGATACGACTTTCCACGAACAGGTGAACTCTCTCTCCCTCTCTCTCAATTATGGAGGGAACGGTGAGGAGGACGAGAGGAGAAGAGGAGCTGATAGAAGAAGAACGTAGCCGCAACACACCGGTGCGGGTTCGCATCGCGGCTAAGTGACGGGGGTGTGTAGGATGGCTGGAGAATGGAAGCGGATCGCGGCTGTGAAAGAGAATGACGCAGTGGCGGGCGGTGCAACCACATAAGCGCGAAGATGAAGAAGCAATTATTCTAATGGAGGCTTTGGGAGGATTGTAGCCGGGACAAGTGAGGTAATCCATGAATAATACCTGCACCCTTCTCTCGCCCGTTGCTACTCTCACCCCGCCACTCCCCCCATCTTCTCGTCGCCCGCCTGTTGTCCTTCCCCTCCGCTCCCTAATATTATGCTAAACTCAGGTAATCCTCGAATACCAGGCCCGGCCACAGATACGCGGTGTCGCTATCTCGAGCCAACGTGTCCTACTCGAGGCCATCTGATCGTCTCTTCTCTTCCTTTCGCCTCGATTTTTTCTTCGTTCCATCTTTACTGCTGTTCGAACGTCAATTGAGAGCGTGCGGTAAGAATCGAGGAGGATGAGATCTGAGAAGGATGAAGGAGAGATCGAGGGATTGAAATTCGGGGAATTTTCCATCCGGTCTGAAGTCTTCGAGGACCCTCTCGATCCCTCCATTCCAGCGCTGTGTGCAGGGTAACAGGATTTTTTGGGCGAAAAGGGAGCCCCCGCTTTTATCCGGATCCATTCGAGAATTTTGAAAGAATGATGCCAAGGAGAGGCTTATTTACGTATATTCGCGTATTTAAGCTGGCATTTTACCGAGCCCTATTCTCGAAGAAAGCAGAGCCAACCAACGCTTTCGCGAAACGGTATCATAGATTTTTGTTTCGTATAAGGATTATCAGAATGGAGATCGGATGTGTACTTTTAGAAATATTTTTACGCGTCCTGTTTTTTTATGCACTCTATACGCGTCACTTTTATTTGTGCACGCTCGAATTCACTCTCTGTCACAACGTTTCCGGAGAAAAGTTGTTCATCTCATCCCACCGTGTAAGCAAAATATATCACATGCTACTTGGTTTTCTCCAAACCATTATATAACGATTAATCAGACGATATATATTACAACGGGGGATATTCTGTCCTGGCAACATCAAAGAAGGTTAATTAAAATAGTCAAAGCAATTCGGACAACGATATCCCTTTTAACGGAACCACCGTCCTGGAACGAAACACGTGATATTACAGTGAACGACGCCGAACTCTCATCCGTGTAATATTACCGCGAGAGCGCAAATCCAGTTTCCTATTTCTACGTCCGAAAATAATACGCGCTGTTATGGAAATTTCAACGTGTTACTTTTATGGAAATATCCGTGGCATCCACGTTTCGTTCGTTCGGACGGGACGGGCACGTTTTATCGCGGTTATCCCTCGCGTTGTCCTCGAATTAAACGGTATTATATTCGAAAATACGATTCCTTCTAAACATTCGAAATATTGAAATACCAATTATATTTCAACGGGTCGAAATTCACTTTATCATCAACGTGCTCAATTTCGACTCGAAGAAAAAACGATGGAGGCGAAGGATAAAAGAAGATAAGGAGATACAAGCGTTCGAGGGAGAGACAATTCGAACAATTTTTCGTCACGATCTCGTTCTTTCGCGCGCCGCCCTTTTCTTTCTTTCTTTCTTTCTTTCTTTCGCGCCGCACCGCGGAGACTGCACTACTTTTTATATTACTATTCTTTGGGAAACCGTGGCCATACACCACCGCACAATTTCCGCGTCTAGGATAAAATCGGAAGTAATCACGAGAAGTGGGGATCCCGCGCGGGCCACGCGCTCGAATTGAAGGGAGGGGCGAGGCGGGTTGAAAGGGAATGAACGAGACGGAGACGGCATGAGAACATGGACCGGCCGGTGGAAAAGAGGGCGCGGAACCGTGGAGGGAGAAGGATGGAAGGAAAAAGTAAGCGAGCCCCGGAGTGCAAGCGTATCAGAGCTTGTGCAACGCTGCATCAAGCGGCTGACGATGCACTTAGGGATATTAGTAAAGCCCCGTCGAATGAGAGCCGGCTCTGGGACTCGGTCTTCGCCTATCGCCGCCCGAAATCCTGCTTTTAACGCGTTAATCGTTGCAAGGAACGGTTAATGATCTTGGGAGAATTTTGCATCGATTCTATTTTTCAACCATCTTTCTCGATAATCCAAATTAACACGAGCGGGCAGGATAAGACTCATCGTGAAAAATCTTAGATATTTCTTCATTGATCGATGTCGTGCAAGTTTATTATACTAACTTAAGTGGCACGTAAGCAGGCAGGCATATCGAATCTGAATAACAGATTTTCAAACAGCAGATAATGATTTGTTGTTCTTGCTGTTCTACGACGAGAGATGCTGATAGATTGTTAAGTTTTCGAAAAGATGTTATTTTTACGAAGATAATAAAATTTATTCACCTTAATCATCTTAACGTGATAGAACAATCAAGACGCCCGTAAACACGGCACAATGACGGACTTTACGTGCCGATTATTCTTCCGACCATAAACGAGAATTACTTGAGAGAATGATAATTACAAAGCGTCTACGGGAACGAAGTTATATTCACCGGAGCTGGTCGGATTAAATATTTCATTTATGTCTGCAGGTCCGACTTAATCGGTTTACGTTCTTTGGGAGTTGGAAAAACCCCCTAGCCCCGGAACTGGTAGAAAGATTTACTGCCGCTTGAAATTCTGCAGCTTTATACGTGTAACACCCGCATACCTGAAGAATTTTCGAGAAACCGATCGTTAAGAAAGAACTTTTTTTTTCGTTTTCTCGATCGCGAAGAAAAAGGGGAAATAAATATTGGAATCTTATTTCGATCGAATTTTCCTCTATCTGGATATTCTACGAGAGAGTGATAATTCCATAATTCTTGCCAATTATAAAATCGACGGATCATCCAAGTATTTTTAATATCTTGTCGCGAATGAGATATTTTCGATCGAGAGAAAAAAAACCAAATATAAGAGTATCGTTTGATATTTCCAAAATATCTGCCGACAATACTTATAAAAGGAAAAAGATACATTCAATATATTCAAACTCTTTAAAAAATTCGAAAGGTTAAAAATTTTTTTTTTTTTTTTATTATACTTGCTATTATTATTATTTTTCTTTTTTAGAAACTAATTTAAATTCTATCTCGATGCTGTATTAAGTACTAATTGCGGTTGGTATTTGGCCAGACTATTGAGTTTCGCCGTGACTACCCTCGAACGGCATAATACATTGTGCGTTCGAGACTAATCGAGACTCGTTAGTCGATTAGGATCATTATACCGTTTCTAATGCGAATTACCAAGAATCGTAAATTTCAACCATTACCGGCCCGCTAAATCGGCTGTATAATACCGTTTTAGCGGTTTTTATGAAGCTCGAAGTACGAATTAGAGACACAAAACTTCGTACGACTGGTTCTTGCTTCTATTTCATAATCTTTTAATTATCTAACCGTACGAGCCACTTGTTTTACCACTTTTCCATCATATCTTATGGCAAAAAGTTGTAAATCAAGATTGAATTTAACGTCGAGAGTTAGTTAAGTTATGAAATCTTTTTCATTAGGTTGTTAGGTTAGGCTAATAAAAAAGTTGGTTGGTAATGATGATGAAAAGATAGTAGGGATAGTTTGTTTTTGTTGTACGCAAAGTTGTATTTAAGTGAATATTAAATTTGTGAAATTTGAAAAATTAAGTAGAATTTTTATTATAGAATTTAAAAGATATTCGATATAGTTTTTGTAAAATACTTTTTGTCTTTTTTTTTGGAGGAGGAGGAGGAGGAAAAGAATTGAAAAATTGAAAAATTTTTATCGCGGAATTATACGAAACGATAAAATGTTTTGTGTTTTTTTCAAATTTTTCAAAAGTTTATTCAAATATCGCGTTTTAAAGTATGTTCAATAACGATAACTGAATTATTGTTGTTTTATCGACCAGAAGACGAAATATAATCCATTGACACCTGAAAATTCCGGGATTTAACAAAGCCGGCGAATTTCTGTAATAATCGACACCATCTCTGTGCAATAAAATGAACTGTTTATTTCATAAATTGGTCATGAAATCTGCGGAATCATCGACGCGAGGGCGAAATTGATTTAATTTCATCGCAATTGCAAAGATAATCTCTATGTTCGTTTATACCCAAAATTTCATCGTTCCATCATCAATTTCATCTACCAATTTCATCGTGTTCACTACAAATATTCATTTATTCGTTTATTATATCACATCTAGACGATGTTATCGTTATCATTCCCTCTCTCTTCTTTGTTTTTTTCTTTTTTCCTTCATTCGATAATAATATCACAAATAATATGCAATAAAACAACGTAAAAGTAGCAATTTTCTCCAAAAAAATATTCTTTCTGAACATAATCTAAAATTTTGAAAATACACTCGTCACACTATTTCTTATCACGGATAGAATATAATTTTACGAAATTCAATGTAAATAATACATTATTCACGCGACAAAGAATACGTTAAAATTCAATCTTAGAAGATTAAAATTTTTCTCAATTCAATCATTTCATTACTTAATACACGATTATGTCGAGATTTCAAGTTCCGAATATTTGTAAGTTCGGCCAGGAATTGTTTCG